GAATGCAGCTTTAACACATGAAGCTTTGACTTCACTTTAAAGAACCGAAGGATAAGTTGCCGTTTTCATTCACAGCATTTCTTTCATAAAACGTTACGCAGGTCTTGAGGAAACTGAGGTCACCGTCTACGCTGCCGTTTACAATGAGAGGAAACACAAATGTGGACAGTAAAACGTGCCGCAGGACGAGGGTTAAGTCGTCCCCGGAGGCCGAGGTGGGCGTCGTCTCCTCGCTGTTTAAACAGACTCTGACCTTTGATCTCTGACGACCTCAGGAAACCCCGTCAGACGGTCTGTAACTGCTTCCTGTTCTCAAACGTGTGGACGTGAACTACAACATCACCTTACAGTGTTATTGATCTTTTATTTAGAAAACCCACCTACAGGAAGTCAAATGATGCCAATTTTAAATACCTGATTAATTATTTTTACTAATTCATAAAGTTTAAATCATGAAATAATTGCTGGTTACAAAACAACAAACACATTTTTCAGTGGAATGATGTTTTTATTTTCTTTGAAAATGTAAATAAAAACAAAGAAAATGTAATAAAATATTTAAAATCTTTAAAATACTAAAATATATTCTTTGTTTGTTTTATTATTATTGGAGGGTAAATTATTGGAAGGCCTGACATGGATTTTGTAATTATACATCGCTTTATATATTTTATATTTATTAATAAAAGAGATTAAATGTCACAAAAATAGTTTGATTTAATTTGTTTTCAAATGAAAAATGTTGTAAAACTCTTCCGCTTCAGCAGCATGATGGGTAATGTAGTTCGGACTCATTTAGGAGAATTTATTGTCTTATTCGTCTCTATGTGATCACTTCTTTGTCTGTGAACTCAGTTACTACGGATGTAAAAATATAAAAAAGGGAGGAAGTCAAAATTCGAAACTGACTGCAGATCAGCTCTGTTAATATTTAACGACAAAGTATTTTACAGCTACGAAGACGAGGTCACAAGGTCGAGAAACAACGGTTTAAGGGACACTTTAAAGTAAAGCTTCTGGCCTTCAGAATAAAAGCAGCAAATAATCATAATTCAGTAAAAATTGAAATGTAATGTAGCATCGGATTGTCGGGACGGAGAAATAGTGAAAACACTTTAATAACCAAACAGGACTAGTTTACACTCTGTTCAGAAAACTATGGAATTATTCTGACACTGATTATCAGAAAACACTATATAAACCTCTAGCACTTTTATTTTGAAGGTCAGAGCTAGTACCCGTGAAGTCATTTTATCATGAGATCTTTATCGTTTGTTTGCCTCCGAATATTCAGTCATTGGGTACTTCTCAAGTCTCTTAATTGCATCCCCGTTTCCCTCACTTGCGTCCTTTCCTTGCGTCTTAGTCCCTCCCACCAGGGATGCATGGAGGAAACCATGCAAGGAGAGAGGAACGAGGAAATATGTTTTAAGAGACATGAGACGTCCTTTCCTCAGGTGCGTCACGTGAAGCGACGTCTGTTTCTGATGACGGAGGATCAGCTGATCACAGCTGGATCAGCTGTCAGTCGGCTTTAACAGCTGGAGAGACTTTTGATAAGTTTGTGTCTGTTGACATGATCACTGTACTTAATAACAGTAACTAATAATACTAATAACTAATAAAGACACACAGTGATCACCACTGTAGAGGTGTTTCTCTCTGTAGTCTGTTGACAAACTGTGTCCTGTGTTCTGTTTATAAGCACAGGATCCATTTCTACCGGCGGAATGCGATCGTCTTATTTATGAATTATTTGCGTCTGTACGTTTTGAAATTGTGACTGTGGCGTCATTATTAAATAACCCAGAATATGATTATTGTTTCTCTTAAATGATAAAACTCATTAAACACTCAGGAATGATGTAAAAAGTGTTTCGTCTCTCCAGCTCCCTCTGACTTTAATTGTATTCATAATAAAAGTTATTGAGGGAAATATCAGATCATGAAAACACAAATCTTTCTAATAAATGAAGAAAGTTGTTTGTGGTCGTTTTGTTGTTCAGACTACAATGGACATTTATTTAAACCAGATGTTCAATCACAAAACTAATCAAATATAAACTAGAGTTTATTCTGTGATCTGTCTTCACTCTGGTATGAAACTCCAGTCAGTCAGTCCGATCGGCTGCAGCGTCCAATCACATAACTGATGAACAATGAGGGGGCGTGTCGGCCGTTAAATCACTTCCTGGAAGTCTGTTCTCGTGGTTCCTCGCTCACGGCTCCTCCGAGGTCCCTCCTCCATCCTCGATCCTCGCTCCTCTGAGCTACATTAGAGCTTTGGGACGGCCGTCAATATGGCGGCGCAGAAACAACTTCCGGTTCAAGCGAGGATCGAGAAGCGAGGAAACGACAATCAAGAGACTTGAGAAGTACCCATTGAGACATTCAGGGGAATATGACGGAAAAAATTAAGACAGGAAGTTGAAATGTCCTTACAACAGTGTCCTCTTTCAAAATAAAAGCGTCCAGATTAAAGCAGGAGTGTTTTTCTTCTTTGGTGAATTGAATTTGTAGATACATATCTATATCTATATCTATATATATATATAGATATATATATATATGATCCGTGTCGGTGGCGAGTAAATCCTAAATCTTTGACCGTCCGTCAGTTGGCTGATTGGTTCTCCAGTGAGTCTGAACATCAGGTGGTTTTGTACACTCGGTCAGTGTCCCCCCCTCCCCCCCGTTGGCGCTCTAGTCCTCGCTGTGGTTGTACAGGGTGTTGTTTTCATCGGCGTCGGTGGGGTTCTTGCGGTGGGCTGGGGGCACCAGGTGTTCGGGCAGCTCTCCGGGCAGCTCGTAGCCCTCCAGCTTCACCTTGATGAGGTGCTGGGCGAGCGCGAACTCCTCGTCATCCAGCATGCCGTCGCGGTCACAGTCGGCCAGCTTCCAGATCTTCCCCAGCACGGTGTTGGGCAGCCGCGAGTTCATCATCTCCTTCTTGGCATTGACGCCGGTAATCTTGCCGTTGATGGGCATCAGCATATAGAAGATCTCGTCGTAGCGGTGCTTCTCGCGGCTGACAATCCAGTCCTCGGCGTCCGCCCCGGCGCTGATGCCCTCGCCGTAGCCCTGACCGAAGGGCCCTTCCTGGGAGCCCTCGAAGGCACCGCCGGACACCATAGCCGGCGGCGCCTTGGACTCCTCCTCGCGGATCATCGACATCAGGCTGGCGATCTTGGTGGCCAACATCTTGTCCACCGACTCGACCAGCTTTATCTTCAGGGACGGGAACTTGTTGAAGTCGTAGTGCTGCAACATGTCCTGCAGGAGACAAAAAACACAATTTGTTCCTGTTTCACATCATTGACTTTCTCTCTTTTAGGAAAAGTGTTTTCTATTGACGAGAGATTATTGATTGTCTGTTGTAGTTCCTCTCTGTCGCTGACAGATGGCGACAAAAACAAGTTAGTTGTACTTTATACTGTACTACATCTCAGAGGTACATATTGTACTTTATACTGTACTACATCTCAGAGGTACATATTGTACTTTTTACTGTACTACATCTCAGAGGTACATATTGTACTTTTTACTGTACTACATCTCAGAGGTACATATTGTACTTTGTACTGTACTACATCTCAGAGGTACATTTTGTACTGTTCTACATCTCAGAGGTACATTTTGTACTTTGTACTGTTCTACATCTCAGTACTTCAGTAAGGTTTTAAATGCAGGACATTTACTTGTAGGGAAGTATTTTCACAGTGTGGTACTAGTATTTTTACTGCAGTAAAGGATCTGAATACTTCTTCCAACACTGATAATCACATGAGACTGAGCAGAGCTGAGAGGGTCAAACCTCCTGCCTTCTGCAGCTGGACACAGTGTGGTCTGACCTCTGACCTCTGAAGAAGAGCACACACACACACACACACACACACACACACACACACACAGTGTGTCTGCAGGAGGATCCAGATAACTCACAACACGTGTCAGAATATGTGTGAGTGCGTGTCATGAGAGTACACATCTCACCCGGGCACCGAAACATCTGAAACACTGAAACATTCCCTCTCGTCAATAATCCAATAAATAAAAGTGCAGCTGGGGAACACACACACACACACACACACACACACACACACACACACACACACACACACACACGTGACAGACCAGCTGCAGAGTGACAGCATTCAGTTGAGATCACATTTTGTTCTCATGTGCTGGAGGAAGTACTCTGATCTTTTACTGCAGTCAAAACACAAATATGAGCAACACATTTAGCCTAAAGTCCTCATATTTGTAACGATCGATCGATTCATCGATCCAGTGTCATCGATGCAAAGTTAAAACATCAACACATATCATCACCTTTATTTTGAAAGGCCACGTCTGTGTCGCCGCCTCTTTCCTGTACTTTATACTTTTACTGCACTACATCTCAGAGGATAACGTGTACTTTTACTGCACTACATCTCAGAGGATAACGTATACTTGTACTGCACTACATCTCAGAGGATAGCGTGTACTTGTACTGCACTACGTTTATCAGGGATCTGTAGTTTCTTTACAGAGGAACTATAAATTAACACACCACCAGAATAAGAAATAAATAAAAATCATAGCTCCACTGCTACAACATTAAAATACATGTTACTGCATCAACAATAACGATCTAATAGTGAGTACTTTTACTTTCATACTTTAAGTACATTTAGCTAAAACTACCAACATACTTGCCTTTAACCCTCTGAAACACGATATAAACCTCTAGCACTTATTCACTTTTATAAATAAATATATATACTGTATGTAAAAAAAAACAACAAAAAAAAACTCAAATGTATGAGCTGAGGATGTAAATAAATACATAAGTGCATAAAGTACCTGCATCTTGGTGACGTTGGGGAAGTCGCCGGGGCTGATGTGATGCTCCCTCTGAAGGATGCAGTAGATCTCAGGCAGCCTGGAGATAAGCTCCTCCTTCTTCTTCTCTCTTCCAAACAGAGACGGCATCTCCTTCTTCAGGTAGCTGATGATGTAAGCGTGCACCTGCAGGAGTAAAGACCGAGGGAGGAGATGAAGGAGGAGGAGGAGGAGATGAAGATTTAGGAGAAGGAGGAGGAGGAAGAGGAAGAGGAGGAGAAGAAGAAGAAGGAGAAGGAGAAGGAGAAGAAGGTGAGTTGACGGTGATGAAGGCCTAAATGCAAAAAGTGAATCAACATATTTCTACATTCACGTTATGAAAACATCAAAATCAGCTGGTTTATAAAGTCTAATACTTTATATCTCATACATCTGACATTCAGGTGTCAAACAGAACAACAGGAGACTAAAGGGTTAACTACACTGAGGAGGAGGAGGAGGAGGAGGAGGAGGACCCTTCAATCCTTCATACCAGTCAACAGCATTAATGTGGAAGGAAGGAAGGAAGGAAGGAAAGGAGGGAGGGAGGGAGGAGGGTTATCTTCTGGAGGGAGGACAGACATACGAGTGATGGATGAGCTCCACCATGAGCCTCTCATCACAAAACCAGTGAGGGACTGAAAGACTCTCAAGAAGGAGGAGCCTGACCATGTGACTTCTGCTACGACACACAAACCAACCAATCAGAACACAGCAGGAAGTGAACGAAAACAACCATCACTCCTGATGTTCGAGGAGGTGAAAGAAGTGAAGGAGGTGAAGTAAGTGAAGGAGGTGAAGTAAGTGAAGGAGGCATAAATAAAAGCTTCTCCTGATTCCTTTTTAAAATAAAACTATAATGAATGAATGAATGAATAAATGAATGCATACATGAATGGATAAATGAATAACGTAATAAATGAATAAATAATTGAATAACTTAATAAATGAATGACTAAATGAAAGAATGAATAAATAACTGAAATAATGAATAAATAAATGAATAAGTGAAAGAATTAATACATGAATGAATTAATGAATAACTTAATGAATGAATGGATGAATAACTGAATGGATGAATGAATGAATATCTACGCTGACCCCCTCCCTGTCTGAACTGATTGCTCAGACATGAAACTGAAACTTCTGACTCTTGAAACTTCATCTTTTATGAGAGAGTGCTTTCATTTCCTGACTTTTTTTCCCCGACTCTGAAACACAACCAAACATCCCAGAACATTCCCAGCATTCCTGAGCAGGTTTAAACCCCTGAAGGCCTCTCTGTGTTAACAGGTCACTTCCTGTCTCACCTTGGCCAGCCTCGCTCTCTTGATCAGGTCGTTGAGCTTACGGAGCGCTGCGTTTCTCGGGAGGCTCTGGATGTCTTTGAACAGGTCCTGAGACTCCGCCTCAAACAGACGCCTGAGGAGGAAGTGAACAAGTGAATTCATTAATTAACTCATCAATAAAACGAAACATAAGGGAGAGAATTAACTAAATCATCAATGAAATAATCAACAACACAAATGAGTGAACAAATGAATGAATGAACAAAACAGACATGTGTTCCTGGACAGCTACATAACTGAATGAATGAATGAATTATCCTGTTACCACTCCAGAAAATTTGCCTAAAACACCTATCCAAGGCATACTCAAAGTAAATTGAAAGCTGTTCTTGAACTGTTTGGAGTACATGCATGGTTTTGGTCTCTTTTGAAAGGTAACACTCTGAAGTTTTTTCCCCAACAGTGGGAATCACTGTAAATGCTACTGGCATTGAGTAATAGAAGTTTGAACACACTGAAGGAGATGGTTTTTATTTCCGCCTGAATATGTTTTTGCAAACAGATGCCTGCAGATGACTATAGCTGGGATTTATTAGCTGGAAAACACAATGGGACCACAGCATGAAGCCTTACCTAGTCCAAGTTCAAATTTGATAACAATACCACAGAAAATTAATATTTTACACATGTTTTAATAAGGGTATGTATAGGCGCTTTCCAAAAAAGTACATTTGGGGACCCATGGTAACCATAATAACATACCTAGGCTGTGTAGAAATGTGAATTCATAATTCAAACTAAAGCTTATTTATGTCTAAATACAGTAATCTATAAGTTATTTCACCATTATTCACTTTCACAAATTCTACAAAACTCTTAAAAACCACACTTTGAATTTAACGTACGGACACAGGGACCTGACTCGCGGTTACGCAGTGACTTCCACGTTCTGCCTCTAAATCTAACCCCTGAATCTGTATATCGTTATTTTCGAAATTTCATTGGCCATACGAAGCGTGAGTCATCAGAACGATAGGTTGCAATTAGCTCGAGCGTTACACGAAAGAAGAGGGGCAGGCACTGTCCTTCAACGGGGACTCTCGTTGGCTATTGTAGGCTGAATGAATGGATGAATGAATAGATGGATGAATGAATAGATGGATGAATTGATGAATGAATAGATGGATGAATGAATGAATAGATGGATGAATGAATGGATGAATATCTGGCCTGTTCTCAGAGTTCTGCAGCGGTTTGGATGGATGAATGAATAGATGGATGAATGAATGGATGGATTAATATCTGACCTGTTCTCAGAGTTCTGCAGCAGTTTTGAAGGATCAATGAATAGATGAATGAATGAATTGATGGATGAATGAATATCTGACCTGTTCTCAGAGTTCTGCAGCGGTTTGGATGGATGAATGAATGGATGAATGAATAGATGGATGAATGAATGGATGGATGAATATCTGACCTGTTCTCAGAGTTCTGCAGCGGTATGGATGGATGAATGGATGAATGAATGGATGAATGAATGGATGGATGAATATCTGACCTGTTCTCAGAGTTCTGCAGCGGTTTGGATGGATGAATGGATGAATGAATAGATGGATGAATGAATGGATGGATGGATGAATATCTGACCTGTTCTCAGAGTTCTGCAGCGGTTTGCCCCAGAAGGATCCCAGATAGACTCTCACCACCTCTGGAGTGTTGATCACTTTCCCCAGTGACCACATGAGGGCGCCGTATACCCTCATCAGCTGCTGCGTGTCCACCTGAGAGCGCAGGTGAGGAAGAGGTTATTTGTTTCACAATGCCAATCATGTCTTCATCGTCCTCATCATCCTCATCGTCCTCCTACCTGGTCGGCCTTGTTGAGGACGACTCGGATCTTGTCGTCTTGTCCTTTGAAGGCTCGGATGGCTTCGGAGAACTCATCTGAAATGTCCAGTTTGTGAGCGTCGAACAGCAGAATGATCCGATCCACACGCTCCCCGAACCAACGCAGCACCTCTGCAAAGTCATAACCTGCAGACAGGAAGTTCATCCTTTCAGAATAAAGTCTGTAAGAACACTTAAACCCACTTTGACCGATGTGAAGGTGAAGGTAAGAATTTCTACTTCTGTGACAAAGAATTTGCTTTAAATTGCAATTATATTTAGTTGCGATTTTATTTTTCTAATTACTTGGATATTCCAACAAATGTCTAGTTATTGATGATTTATTTGTTGACTTCACTTTTCAGATGCCTGGTTTAACTACAGTGTGTGTAAACCAGTCAAACAGGGTCCATGTTAGACTGAGGGTCATCGAGGACACTATTGGAGTCTCTATTGAGCACCACTCTGAAGGAATAAGTTAAAAGAAAACGTTAAACAAAATAAACACTGGCTGAAAAGGAAAAGTACAGCAAATTCACATGTGTTCCCAGAATATTTAATCTTATATTAACAAGTGAACGCACCAGCTGATTTCTGACATCCCAGTGCCCCTTTGGTAACTGTAGTATTATTATATTAATGATGGAATAATGTAATATTAATATAATATCACGATAGTAATGACGGAGTAGGAAGCTTTCCAATATTCAATGACGGAAACACAAACATGCAACAGGACAACAAAGCAACGAGGGCATTACAGCTGCTACACTATGTCTTTAAATGTGTGTGTGTGTGTGTGTGTGTGTGTGTGTGTGTGTGTGTGTAAAGTGATATGTGGCAGCAGTTTGGGTGTGGTTCCTCTCAAACTTGGTGACACTCAGCTCTGAAGCTAAACTGAGACAAAAGCTTTTAAAGTTGTCTTGATGTTGGAAAATCCTGCTCAGAGATCAGGAATCTGCTGTGTTCTACTATACTGTGTTCTACTATACTGTGTTCTACTTTACTGTGTTCTTTACTGTTCTGTGGTTTATCATGACTAACACAACAACACAACACAAACATCTCAGACAAATAAAAACAAAACCATCCGACTGCAGGGACACGAGCAGAAGGAAGAGAGGAATATTTAGGTGAACTGTCCCTTTAAGAGTTATAGAAGCAAGAACCTCATCCATGAGTCACCAGCAGGAGGAAAGTTCCACTTCCTGCTAGGACATCTAGAAAACTACACAGCTGATCTCTCTTTTGACGCACTTCAGTATTTGTCTTCAAGGTCACCTTTAAAGTCTACAGATTATACACACACACACACACACACACACACACACACACACACACACACACACACACACACACACACACACCTTCAGTAAACACCACCATCCAGATTCACTTCAGTCTGTCGACTCCTTTTAAAACGGCTTCAGAACTTTTTAAATCAAAACTTGAACATAAAATCTGCAGTTTTGATTCATTAAAACAGAATCAATCAATCAGTCACCTGATCAATGTCTGTGACGCTGCCGTGTTGAACAATAGGTTTCACATTTCAACCTTTAACGTGGAGGAGCTGCTGTCCACAATCACAACAACACTGTTTGTGGACACAACACAACACGCGCGCGCGCGCACACGCACACACACACACACACACACACACACACACACACACACAGTTATTAACCCTTGTTACACAATTAAAATTAATTCATGTTAATTTTTATTGTTTATTTTTAGCCAGACAATATTGTTTCAGTTTTGTTTTTCTTAAAGAATATATTTTTTTATTCAGTCTACGCACAATCATTTTAGTTTCACTTTCAGTTTCAGATAAAAACTTTTATGAATAAATTTGTTCTTTGGTTTTTACTCGACCTCTTCAGAATAAAGTGACAAGGTTTTTATATCTTCTTCCTGCTGCTCAGCTGGAAGGAATCCTGAATAAAAGATGTGTGAAGGTGTCAGGAACAGCTTCAGGTTACACCTGTTCAGGTGTTTGTGATGCTGAGTGAAGGAGTGAGTGAGTGAGTAGGAGTGAGTGAGTGAGTGAAAGAGAGAAGGAGTGAGTGAAGGAGTGAGTGAGTGAAAGAGAGAAGGAGTGAGTGAGTGAGTGATTGAAGGATACATCAGCTTCATCAGAAACTTCCTGCACCTCTGAGACTGAAAACACTTCCTTCCAGGTTTTAAAAACGGTTCTCTAGGACGACTGATTGCTCCACTTGTTCCACTTCCTGTTCCAAAGGGAAACACCTTCAGACTAACAATACCACTTCCTTTTTAGAGCTGCAACTTACTGTATTCATGTCCTGGAAAAAAATGATGTGTGCAGAGTGCAACAGAGGAATTCATTTATGTTTCCTCTGTTGCACTCTGCACACACATCATTTTATTTTAAATTTATTTAAAAAATAAGCTTCACTACTCACACACATGATGGTGTTTAGGATACAAACAGGGGACCGTGCTACAACGTAGGACCGGTAAATAAATACTAAGCTGGTATAGGATTTAAAATTAATAAAATATAGTGTAGACATGACAATGCACCATAAGTATGCAATGTTTATTTGGGCGTTTACTGAATTCATGTTGCTGGTGAACTTAACGAGAGGAAACTGTCTCCGGTGTTTATTTCCTTAACGAAAACTAAATATGTTGGTTAACGACATTTTTTTTTCATGACTAAGACGTGACAATGACGAAGTCATCAAACACTAACTGTGGTAATACCATTGACGAAAAAAGATTCACATCAGGACCACATCGACACACGAGTCAGGAGGACTCAGGGTAACTTAAAGTTAACAATGACAACAGAAACCAGCTGATATTTTGGTTAAAACGTTGAATATAAGAAAATAGTTACCGTTTCTTTGATGAAGAGAAAACTAAAATGCCCAAACTTGACTTAAAAAGCAGGATGACGTGACTAAATGTTAAAACTAACAAGGACATTTGACACCAGACGAAGACTAAATAGAGGAAAATAGCTAACAAAAACAAAACAATATAAGTTTCTTAGCACTAAGTTCACATTTTTTGGATCACTGAATACAAATTGTTGCAATGAGTTCATTGTATTTTTCTATTCAATGTGAAAATTCACAATACAAAACAAAACTGAATTAGTTACGTGGGTGCAGAGGACAGCGCTAGTCCCTAAATAATGAACGACTTTAGCAGGAAGCTACCAATTAGAGCTCAACCACTTCTCTAATGTTTAGTACATCCTTCGTTTTGTGATCACAGTTCTACGTACAATCACCTGCCACAATCTATCTTTAAGTTCTGCATCTCTGTATTCATTCATTTGTTTGTCGAAGTGAATCGGTTTACTAGATGTAATTTTCGTTGATGCATGTACGGTGCCTCTGAGTGGTCAAACAACTCTGACAGATGTGTAAAAAGCAGAAAATCAAACCTGTTCCATCAACTATAATGATGTAGACAGTGTGAAAAACGTGATTGACACACTGTGAGGTTGTATTTAAAAGAGAAAGCTACGAGCCAAACAAGTTGTTTGATCCAAACTTTTCATGTTTAATTTGCAACAAAACTGTTCCAGTTTCTAAAGAAGTCATAAAACTACATTTAAATCCAGACGGGGACGGTTAGATCATATTTCGTCTCCCAACTTCTCCACACCAAGGGAAAAAAAGTAGCTAAAAGTGCTATTAAGCATCTCTTCTCTTTGTTTGGGAATAATGTGTTTGATGCCTGGTAAATACATTTAAAGGAACAGTCAAACATTTTGGGAAACACAGAAAGAAAGAGATGTATCTTTATGCTTAGCTTAGCATAAAGACTGGAAACAGAGGGAAACTGCTAGCCTGGCTCTGTCTAAAGGCCAAACACACAGAGAGCAGGTCCTCTAAAGTTCACTAATTAACATGCTGGTTTGTTTAGTGTGAATACAAACAGAAATGTTCCTTGAATAAATAATTCATGCTGTAGAAGTGAAGCGATGTCATGTTGGTCACTGAGTTCATTTACGGGACCAGGACTGAAGCAGACCAGTGAAACCAGAAACCAGGACTGGACTGGACTGGAAAGGGTGGGACAGAGGAGGACAGAGTCTCTGGGGAAGAAGGGAGGGACTACTGGCTGAAAGCCCAGGAGGACGAGCTGTCAGGTTTATGAATTTAAGTAAGTGAGGCTCAGATCCAACAGTGACTCAATGAAATACAGAGATTTAAACCCCAGAAGAAGAGAGGAGAGAAAGAAGAACAAAAACTAAGAAAAGGTTAAAGACAAGAGGAGAAGAACCAGGTAGGGGGCTCTCGATTTTACGGAGAAAGTTTAGCGTACAGCGCGTCGTACGATGCACTTATCAGGAACGAATATAATGAATGTTACACACATGTTATATACCCAATTAAAGAAAAAAGTCTGGGCTACAAGATCATGTAAGCCATTCTTACATGCTCCAAACACAATTCTACACAACTAAAACAAACAACTAACGCTGCAGTACTAACATTACTGAAGTACTAACGTTAGTTACAGCAAGTCAAATTACAGCGATACTCACTTTACTGCAGTAAAGTTACTGCGGTACTACTCACATTACTGCAGTACTACTCACGTTACTGAAGTACTAATGTTACCACCCCCCTCCCACCTTGTGTGTTTTTGTGGTATTTATACTTCCTGGTTCATGATTACGTCAATAACAAAATCTACGAATCATGGCGCATTATTTTTCGTAGCTTTTGCTATGATTGCTGGATGAGAGCAGCCTGCCATTCATCTCTACTACAAACGTAGATATCACATGTCACGTTTGGTCTCATGTTTCTGCAGGTTAAGTGTGGACGCTGTAGAGGACTCACCTCGACTTTATTACTGCAGAACAATTTGACTGTTTGAAATAAATCTAACTGAGCAAGAAAACAAAAAGGAATCTGAACTCACAAGAACTTCTACAAAACAAACATGGAGGTCGACACCTCGATACAGCAGGTGGTAAAATAAAACGTGTGTACAGTGAAGCAGCTGCAGAACACACACACACACACACACACACACACACACACACACACACACACACACACACGTTCTGTCAGAGCAGTAGCTGTAATCTGTCAGTGATGATGCTGATGTAATGTGTGTGTTTAACGTATTCAGGAGGAATTTAAATCTAAATGTTTCCAGATGGAGGGAACGCCCGCCGCCGCCCTCTAATCCCCCCCCCCCCGTCCAGCTGAGGCCTTTAACGGATGCTGTCATCATCATCATCATGACTCGCTACAAGAGCAGCAGGAGAAACTTCATTGTCTCTGTGCAGAACAAGCAGAACAAGTCAAGGCACTGCCTCCTCATTTGCATGTTTTTTAGGGTTCATAACAGCTAATATTCTAAACGGATACATAAATATATATATAT